AGGGCCCCCCCGAGTCGATGGGCCGGGGCCGAGACTGGAACGTTGACCTGATCCCCAAATTCCTCATGGCCAACGGTGAGGGAGATGAAGGAGGGATTGTGGGGAGTGATTGGGAAGACCAGAGGACAGTCAGGCTCCAGAGAAGGGGCAGCCAGACCAGCTAGTGCTTCTGGAGAGAGCTGTGCTGATGTCACCCCCACTCCCCCACAGGACAGCTGGTAAAGATGCTACTGTATACAGAGGTGACTCGCTACCTGGACTTCAAGGTGGTAGAGGGCAGCTTTGTCTACAAGGGGGGCAAGATCTACAAAGTGCCATCCACTGAGACCGAGGCCTTGGCTTCCAGTGAGTGTGGGTCCCCTGAGCCAGCGAATAGCGGGGTGGAGGAAGCAGACTGTTCTCAGGATAGGTGGCAAGGAAGCCGTCCAGAATAGGATACCCCCTTGCCCAAAGTCACATTCCTCACATAGGACCATAGCACTTTACGGCTGGGTGCCAGGAGGAAAGTCCACGTGTAGCAGGGATGGGGAGGGGGACTCCTTTTTGAAAGACTTCAGCCTTTGGCAGGGGCTCCACTGGACCCCCAAGACATCCCAGAGTGTCAGAGCCAGGAGGGACCTCAGAGTCTGTCTAGCCCAACCCCCTCTTCATACAGGTGGGGAAACCGAGGCCAGGAGGGTAGAGGGGTTAACTTCAGGTTACACGATAGCTCAGCCGGGACCTAGCGTGCCTGCTTTGTTTGGCCTGCCCTGCTGGGAAGGAGAGTTTTGTGTTCCACTGGTGTGAAGGGTCTCCTCACACCACCTTCCTCAGATCTAATGGGCATGTTTGAGAAACGGCGCTTCCGCAAGTTCCTGGTGTTTGTGGCAAACTTCGATGAGAATGACCCCAAGACCTTCGAGGGTGTCGACCCCCAGACTACCAGCATGCGTGATGTCTACCGGAAGTTTGACCTGGGCCAAGATGTCATCGATTTCACTGGCCATGCCCTGGCGCTCTACCGCACTGATGAGTGAGGGGAAGCTGGTGTGGCGGCAGCCCCCTCGCCTTGCCCGTCCCCTGCCCTCCCCACACCTGCCTGCTGCTCCCTCCACCCACCCCACACATCTCCCCTACATTTGAGTCACATCCTCCCCAGGCCATTCAGGGTGGTGGGAAGGCTGGCCTGGTGCCTGGGTGGGGGTGAGCCAGGGATGCTGCTATTGGAGTGTTTCCCCTCACCCCTGTCCCCCCAGCTACCTGGACCAGCCCTGTCTTGAGACCATTAACCGCATCAAGTTGTACAGCGAGTCCCTGGCTCGGTATGGCAAGAGCCCGTATTTATACCCACTCTATGGCCTGGGTGAGCTGCCCCAGGGCTTTGCAAGGTGAGGATATGGCTTTTTTGAGTTGACATTACTGACTAATTTGGACTGAGGCCCAAAATGGAAATGGCTCCCTTGAGCATTTCCATAGCATTTCACATTTTCCAATCTGTGGTCTTCATTTACTTCACTCCATCCTTGGGTGATGGGGTACAGCCCTGATGCGTTGAAGTGCAGAGTCACAAAAGTAGGTGTTCACAGATGTGGTCTGCTCAGCTCCTGGCACCACCAGGACTGGGCCCCAGGTCCCCGGAACCTTGAGTCAGGGCTTAGCTGGGAGCAGGCCCTTCTCCAGAGAGTCCTTCATTTTGGCCTCCCCCGGCTCTTTCTGTGTGAAACTATTCCCTTGTGCCATATTCAGGTTAGCCCTTGGCAGAATATTCTGGGTAGAAGCTCCAGAGAGGAAGGAGCATCCTCAGAGGGAGCAGAGCTTGCGGCAGTGATAGAGCTGGGATGGACACGGGGCCTCCGGACTCCTGCCTGCCTGGAGCAGCCTTCTCTGCACCATGCTGTGGGGGGTGTGGTAGAATTGGTGCCTGTTTCTCTTGGGTGGGGGCCTTCACCATTACCTTCCTCTCAACAGATTGAGTGCCATCTATGGGGGGACATATATGCTGAATAAACCTGTGGATGACATCATCATGGAGAATGGCAAGGTGGTAGGCGTGAAGTCTGAGGGAGAGGTGAGCCTTCCCCACGCAGTGCAGTCACCATGGCTGGGGTGGCGCCTGGCTACCTTAGGGGCTCTGTTCCTAGTGAGATTGACTCTGAGGGCCTTGGAGCTGGGAACCAGGGTCCAAGAGAAGTCTGTGGAGCCATGACTGTTGGCGAGAGGTCTCTCTGAAAGCCATGTGCTATGCCTGTGGTCCAGAAAGTGTTCTTGGTCACAGTGCCTCAGCAGGGGGGTTGCCCAGCCCTGTGCGTTGGGGCCCGCCTCCCTGAGCTATAGGGTGGGGCCATGTGCTACAGTGGTGACAGATCAGAGGAGCACCCTGTCTGTCAGAGCTGCCTGTCCTCACTGTGGGCCCAGCCCCATGGCCACCTAGAAGAGTGATCCGACAGGAGCAAGGCCTTCTGGTGCCTTCACAGGTGGCCCGCTGCAAGCAGCTAATCTGTGACCCCAGCTACATCCCAGACCGTGTGCGGAAGGCTGGCCAGGTTATCCGCATCATCTGTATCCTTAGCCACCCTATCAAGAACACCAACGACGCCAACTCCTGCCAAATCATCATCCCCCAGAACCAGGTCAACAGGAAGTCAGGTAGGTGGCCACTTCCTCATGTGTGCTTACTGGGGTGGCTCTGCCTCTCCCTGTCAGCCTCGGGGTACCCTGCCTGATCCCTCCACAGGAAACATGGGACCCACATTGCAGTCATGATTTGGGGCCCTAGGGTTTGGGTTTCTTGGACCCTTCTCCTCCATGCGGGTGATGTCTTGGAAGCTGCCTGCTTTGTGAGGCTGCAGACGGGCAGGCAGGCCAGAACTGTGCCCAGCGCCCAGAAGCCCTCTCTGCGCGGCTGGTGCCTCCGGTCTGCATTAACACGGTGCTTCCTGTGGCCAGACATCTACGTGTGCATGATCTCCTACGCGCACAACGTGGCTGCACAGGGCAAGTACATCGCCATTGCCAGCACCACAGTGGAGACCATGGAGCCTGAGAAGGAGGTGGAGCCGGCCCTAGAGCTGCTGGAGCCTATTGACCAGAAGTGAGGGGCTGGGCTGAGCCCCATGGGGAGAGGGGGTTGGCAGCCCAGGAAGGACAAGGCCCATTGTGAGGCCTGTCCCCTCTCCTCCATCTGCTCCTCAGGTTTGTGGCTATCAGTGACTTGTATGAGCCCACTGATGATGGTTCCGAGAGCCAGGTAAGCAGCCTGTCCCGGCCCCAGCTCCTGGCTGCCCACCCAGGGCCCCTGCCCAACTCACCCCGGGCCCCGGGCTTTGGCTGTTTCCAGGTGTTCTGTTCGTGCTCCTATGATGCCACTACACACTTTGAGACAACCTGCAACGACATCAAAGACATCTACAAACGGATGGCTGGCTCCGCCTTTGACTTTGAGAACATGAAGCGCAAACAGAATGACGTCTTCGGAGAGGCTGACCAGTGATTGCTGCCCCTGCCCCGGCCCCTGCCGCCCTCCTCCCACCTGTGTCTGTTCTGCCCGAGGGCTGGGGAGATGTGTGGCTGGACACCTGTTTCCAGCCTCCTCTGCTTCCCCCACCACATTCCCATCACCCACCTCATTGATTCACTGACCAAATCCTTAACCTTAGTGATGGTTTGGGAGATGGGGGGGTTGGTTAGCATCCTCTTTCTTGGCCCTTCCTTATCTTAGGAAAAGAGGGTTCCTCTCCTTGTGTGTGTCTCTTCCCCCCACCCATAATTCTTCTGCTCTGTTTGGAAAGAACGTGAAAGAAAAGCTGACTTCTGCCCCCACCGCTCTTACCCCCACTGTAGTGGCCTTTGGAGATGCCCCCTGCCTCCCCCCACCAACTCTCTTGCGTGTTGGAGAGAAGGGGCCCTCCCAGCACAAAGTTGCATTCCTCCCCCTAATTTATTCTAATTTATTAACTTTGGCCTACCCCATCTGAGCCTGTAGCCTTCAGGTGTGGCCTGGTGGCTGTAGAGTGAGCTGCCCTGCCCCTCCCAGCCCTGGCCCAGCCTGGGGAGGGGAGAAGGCTTGGGTGTGGCCCCATCGGAGGTTGCTCTTGCTGTTTTGCTTTTGTCTTTGTGTTTGTGTTGTGTGGTACTGGCTGAGAGCGAAAAGAAGTGTGAGCATAGCAGAAGGAGGTGGGAAACGGATCCCAACCCAGCGTGCCCCACCCCATGCCTTTCCTTTAGTGGTGGGAAACCCTTATCTCGCAAAGTGAACGTGTCCCCTTCCTAAACCTCTAGTGTATTTCACAGAAAACAAAACCTCCCAATAAAACTGTGGAAACTGAACTGGATCTTAAGGTTTATTTCCCAAAAGTTGGGTACTTGGCAGGGTTCTGGCTCCCTGAGTTGGGGCTCACATTTGGCCACTTCCTGACTGTAAAAGGTGGCATTCTTCACCCAGTGAGTTGATGCTGGCACCAGGACTGTGACCCTCAATGGTCCAGGCAGAGGGAAGGGCCGGGAGTTGGGCGTCGAGGAAGGGAGGGCGCTGGGGTCCTAGCTTCTGGGTCAAAAGGAGGAGGCAGAGGGGACCAGGGGCAACCTCTGGTCTGAGGAGGCAAGGGGACCCGGGCCTAGCCTTGGATGGGGGCCAAAGTTGAAGCAGGGGGACAGGGATATAAGTCGAGGGGAGGGGCTGAGAACCGGGTCCTGGCCTCAGGCAGGGAGGAAGCCTGGGACCAAGAGGTCTGGCCTAGGGCTGGGGTCAACATCAAAGAAGTGGAAGGGGTAGTCCGAGCCCTGGGGTCGAGAGGAGGGAGTAGAGGGACTGTAGGCCCCGCCTTGGTCGGGCTAACGTCGAGGAAACGCAGGAAGCTGGGGGACCCAGCCTCTCGGGTCACCAAGGGGCAGGCAGAGGAGGGCGGGACGGGAGTCAACGCAGGGAACCAGGAGCCGGAGGGGCGGGGCGGGAGGCGGCCACGCCCGGGACAGCTGGCGCGGGGCGGGGCGCCCGTGCGTCTCCTGGCGGCTGACGTCACGGCGCGGGCGTCAGCGGACTGCACGGGCGCCGCCGCTCCTGCCGCTGGCTGCTACCGCCGCCGCCGCCGAGACTCAGCTGGGCCGCAGTCGCTGTCGCCGCCGCCGCCGCCGCCGCCGCCGCTATGGCTCAGTACAAGGGCGCTGCGAGTGAGGCGGGCCGCGCCATGCACCTGATGAAGAAGCGGGAGAAGCAGCGCGAGCAGATGGAGCAGATGAAGCAGCGGATCGCAGAGGTGGGGGCCGGCCCGGGGTGCCTCGGAGCATGCGCGCGCCCCGGCCCCCTGGCGGCGCGGTGCGACGCGACACTCCGGCGCTGGGTGATCCTCGGCTGCAGGCTCTGAGCGCGGGCTGCGAGCCGGGGGGCGGGAACCTTGCTCGCTGACCTCAAGCCTGGGATAGAAGCAAGCCGGTGACCGTCCCCTCCACAGGATCGGGCCGTCTCAGAATCTGAGACTTCTAGCTTGTGATAAGGCTCCGGCAGGAGGGAGCTACAGTTAGTGTTTCTCTTGCTGACAGTTGGGCGGGGCGGGCCCTTCCGGCCCCTCCTGGGCCCCTGAGCCCTCAGCGCCAGTCCTCTGCCCCGATCCAGTGCTACCGGGAAGGGCAGGCTCTCCCCGCAGGGGAGGCACAGGGAGGCCCAAGCAGGCCTGGCCGGTGCACCGGCGCCGAGGCTCAGTCCACAGCCTCTGCCCCTGTGACATTGGCAGGCCCCGGCCTCTGGGATGCGAGTGGTTCGCCCAGCGCTCTGATGAGGGACCTGTGATGGCGGGCAGTCAGGGATGGAGGATGAGGATCTCAGCTCAAGCCACTGAGGGAGACTCAGCAGAAAAGCAGGGACTCAGGGCTGGAGGGCAGAGCAGGCTCCTACCCCAGCTAAGTGCAGAAGCCCGGCCTGAGGAAGCAGCCTCCATGCTGAGGTCCTGCAGCCTCAGTTCACTCCCCTGCCCTGGCCCCACTGTCTCAGTGGGGACTCTCTGGCAAGCTGAAGGTATATTTCACTGCTGACCACCTCCCTTGGGGCTCACCAGTCAGAGAAGGATCTATGTGGTACCAAGTGGGCTGGGGCCGGGGCCGAAGAGAGGAGGTTTCATGGGAAGTTATTGGCCACATCTGGCACTGCAGGGAGGAAAACTGCTCAGGGAGGGGCTGGTCCCTCAGCCATTCTTTCCTTCTTTGCCCTCTCCTGACACTCCTTGGCTTGGGTCTCAGGAGCTTCATCTTAAAGACTGAGCATGGAAAGGCCAAAGGTCAGTAGGGTCTGTGGCTCCAGGCCACTGAGAGGGCTCTGGTCCCCAACAGGAGATCTGGAGGGGCCAGAGCACTGCAGGGATCAAAGGGAAATGACCCCATTTGGCTCCCTGGGCACTAGAAGAGCCCCTCCCAGTCTCATGGAACCTTGCATCAACAAAGGAAAGGGGACATGTGTTTTCCAGGGTCACATTGTAGTGAGTCCAGGGGCAGACCTAGGACTAGAACCCAGGTTGCTGCTCCCACACTCATTGCTGCCCCGCTCCCCGGCAGGAGAACATAATGAAATCCAACATTGACAAGAAGTTCTCCGCACACTACGATGCCGTGGAGGCCGAGCTCAAGTCCAGCACCGTGGGTGAGCGCGGTGTGCATGCCACCCTCCCCCGGCCCAGGGCCACTCCTTCACTGGCCCTGGGTGAGTGACCCTTCCCCTCACGTCTCCTTGCTTCCCAGGTCTAGTGACCCTGAATGACATGAAGGCCAAGCAGGAGGCGCTGGTGAAGGAGCGGGAGAAGCAGCTGGCCAAGAAGGAGCAGTCCAAGGAGCTGCAGCTGTGGGTCTTCTCCCCGGTGGGCTCAAGTGGAGCTAGTGCCTGGGAGCTCCTGGGGGCGGCCCAGGCTGTCTTTGTATCTTGCAGGGGACCCCATTTCCTGCTTTGGGAACAGGTGTAGTGTGTAGTTTGGGGTTTGTATTTCTCTCTCCCCCACCTTTTTGGGCCCACACTAAAGTCTTACCTCTGTGCTTTGTCCGTCCCTTTCTGTTCCTCTGCGAAGGCGCTGAGTCCTGTCTGGGCCCTTTCCTTTCATCGGGTGCCATTCCTCTCCATCCTGTGACCCCTGTGGCCTGCTGCGCCCGCTGTGTCATAATCAGAGCCCTGCCTGTGAGCTTGAAGTGACCTAGGCAGTAGAATCCCTCTAGGGTGCTGGGGAGGCCCAGCCTGCACTCAGTGGCCCCCACACTGAGTACACAGTGGCTCTGGGTCAGGGAAGGGACCTGAGGGTGGGGCGTGGTGCGTGACAGTCACCTGTGCTCTGGTAGGAAGCTGGAGAAACTTCGAGAGAAGGAGCGCAAGAAGGAGGCCAAGCGGAAGATCTCTAGCCTGTCCTTCACTCTGGAGGAGGAGGAAGAGGGAGGCGAGGAGGAGGAGGAGGTGGCCATGTATGAGGAGGAGCTGGAAAGGGAAGGTGAGGCCAGGCTTGAGTGGGCCTGCGGCCCCTGGGCAGGGGCCACCAGTGGGAGAGGCTGTTAGAGCAAGGCTGGTGCCTGGTCAGGAAGGTTCCAGAAGCTGCCCTTTAGAGGTACCATGTAGGATAAACCGAGGAGGAGAGAAGATAGTCTAGACCAGGCTGGCTGGCTGAACTTGCTATGATGATGGAAATGTTTGTGCTGCCCAATATGGTAGCCACTTGCTAAGCACTTGCCATGTGGCTCATGTGGCTGGGGCATTAGATTGTTAATTCTGTTTGATTAGTTTCAACATAAACTTACATAGCCACAGAAATTCAGTGCTACTAGTTGGACACTGTAGGTCTCAGCTGTGAGAAGGAGGGGCTGTCAGGGACAACTCAGGAAGGCCAGCCTGGCTCCCCACATACCACATACCTGTGCCTGTGCCCGACCAGCGGCACACAGGGTGTTGTCCCTCTCCTAGTGGATGTCACACGGATCAGCATGCACTCAGGACACTCAGGGTTGCTGCTGTGCTCAGGGTCCAGGGGGCTAGCCCAGGACTCAGGGAAGGTGTCACATGGGGGGACAGTTGAGTTGAGCCTTAAAAATGAGGGACATTTCATTAGCCAGAAAGATGGGAGAGGGTGGGGAGAGTGTCTCAGTCAAAAGACGCAGTGTATACCGAAAGAGAGCAGGGAAGAGTGGACACGTTGGAGGATTTGGAGCAAGTTGTATCCCAGGCCTCAGGAGAGGGCAGGGTGGCAGGTCTAGGCTGTTTTAGAAATTGTGATGCCCAGAGAACAGTGGTGGGACGGGCTGAGGCTAGGGATGGCACTGTATGGCTGTGGCCACAGGCTGGGCATGATGGCTTTAGGGGAGTGGCTGGACTGTCAAAAAGAAGAGCCTGCCAGCCACCTGCAATTTTCATTTTGTGTGTTCCAGGAGCCACAGTAAAGCACATAAGAAGAAACAGCCATCATTTTAGGGGCACATGTATTTAACCTGACACATCCAAAACATTGCCATTGTGGCACATCGCACTAGCTACGTGGCCAGTGCAGGCCTGGGGGAAGTTTGTCAGCCTCTCTGTGTGTCACTAGGGCTTTTACAAAATACTGCATGGTGGGCTCTTCCCTCCCTTCCGAGGTTTCATTTTGGGGGGCCCAGCAATGGGACCCCAGCATCAATTTTTTAAAGCTCTCCCTGTGATTCTAATGTGCAACCAGGCTCTAGAACCCCTGCCCTAGAGCATCAAGCTGAAGAGTTTGGGCTTGTCTTCTGGGTCAGTGGTTCTCAAAGTGTGCTCCAGGGACCCTGGCCGGGGCAGTCTGAGAAATCAAACCCATTTTCATGATAATGCTGAGACATTCTTTGAGTCCTTTTGCTCCAGAGATCACCACAAAGAAGAGGAAATTGGGGAAGAACCCGGATGTGGACACAAGCTTTTTGCCTGACCGAGACCGGGAGGTAAAGGCTGCCTGGCCTGACCGGAGCCTGGGAGAGGCTCTCACTGTGCGCCCTGAGCAACCCTGGCCTAGCTCTGCCTGTTTCCTCTCCCAGGAGGAGGAGAATCGGCTCCGGGAAGAGCTGCGGCAGGAGTGGGAAGCCAAACAGGAGAAGATCAAGAGTTGAGTGCTCGAGGAGCTGGATGCATGTGGCCTGGCACTGGGGCCAAGCTGGCCTCCTGCCCCCAGTTCCCTGGGCAGTGTGCTGAGCCCCAAGGCAGCTCTTGGTGGGGTGGGGATAGCTGGGTCTGGAGACGAAGAGGCAACTCTGCTTTGCAGGTGAGGAGATTGAAATCACCTTCAGCTACTGGGATGGCTCTGGGCACCGGCGGACCGTCAAGGTAGGCAGCACGGGGCCCTTGGGTCCAGCGGGGAGGAACTGAAATCCTGACTTTGGAAGCCCTGGAGGATCTTGAGGGTGGCAGGATAGAGGGCCCAGCCCCCTTCAGACCTCTAGGAGGCTCTACAGTCTCTACCTTCTTGAGAGACCTTCTGCATGCTTCTGTCTTCCTTTCCCAACTGCTCATTTTCCTGGATGCCGGCTCTCGGGCCACGCATGAAGATGAAAAAGGGCAACACGATGCAGCAGTTCCTGCAGAAGGCACTTGAGATCCTTCGTAAAGACTTCAGTGAGCTCAGGTGAGGGCGCGTGTACCTGTGTGTGCATCTGTGTGTGTGTGTGTGGTGCCTGCAGTCCCAGCCTGGACCCCAGGCACCCGGGATGACTGTTCCCGCATAGCAAAGTGGCGTGCTGGGCACTGTGCTCCCGAGAGAAGGATCAGGCTGCTCTTCACTCTCTCCCTCCCACTGGAGACCGCTTAGGAGGGAGCACCTGCCTTGCCTCCTGAGCCCAAAGGTGGAGGACAATGGGGCGCTAGTCCTGGGCTCACCAGACTACAGGCTCTCCTCGGCAGGCAGCTTCCTCCATTCCTGGGCAGAGGATGCTGTCTGTCCGTCCAGACCCTCCTGCCTTTCTCCCTCAGGTCAGCAGGGGTAGAGCAGCTCATGTACATCAAGGAGGACTTAATCATCCCCCATGTGAGTCCCTTCAGCCCCGGGACACACAGTGGGTGCCGCAACCCTGGGCTTCAGCAGAAGAGTCCCCACTCTGCTCTGGGCTCTTTGGCTTGGGCTGGTGGGTGCACCATCCGGCTTGCGGACAGGGGGTGGGACAGGCTGAGATGAGCCATCAAGCTATTGCTTTCCTGCCCTTGGCTCCTAGCATCACAGCTTCTATGACTTCATTGTCACCAAGGCACGAGGGAAGAGTGGTGAGTGCTCCTGGCTTAGCCTCCCCCACAGCAGCTTTCCCCTGATATCGCAGGGGCAGCAGTGTGACACTGGGATGTCTGCTTCCTCCCGTAGGGCCACTCTTTAACTTTGATGTGCATGATGACGTGCGGCTGCTCAGTGATGCCACCGTGGAGAAGGATGAGGTATGGTGGTGCCCTGAGCCTGACAGGGCAGGTGTGTCTGGGCTTTGGAGAAGTCAGGGCGGGAGCTGGCAGGCGGGCCTGCGAGGCAGTACTGGGCCTTTTCTCTTCCTCAGTCCCACGCAGGCAAGGTGGTGCTGAGGAGCTGGTATGAGAAGAACAAGCACATCTTCCCTGCCAGCCGCTGGGAGCCCTATGACCCCGAGAAGAAGTGGGACAAATATACGGTGAGAAGGATGCTCCTCTGAGATGGCCCTGATGCCAGGCTGGGCAGCTCAAGGTGGGGTGGGGACCAGCCTGGCTCTCAGAGGGCCGCAGCTCATGCCTCTGCTTCCTTCTGTCCCCTGTGCCTCCTGTGTCCTCGCGCCAGATCCGCTGAGCATCCGGGACGCAGCGCAGCTTCGGCTCTTCGGCTCTCCCGGCGCAGCCCGTGGTGTCCCCGGGACTCCAGGTGCCCACTGCCCTCCGCCCGGGTTGGGCATGCTGGGAGGACAGGAGCTGCCCAGCCCCCGCCCCAGCATTGTCGTTGACTGCTTTTTTCTTTTACAATAAAGAAAGGCACATGTCAGAGCTGGAGCACCAGTATTGCATGAAAGTGTGTTTTGTTTAAAACCATTTTGATTGAGATAAAATTTATATAGCATGAAATTCATCATTTTGACCATTTTAAACTATACAATTCAGTGGCATTCAGTGCCTTCACAATGTCATGCAGTCATCACCTTTATCTAGTTCTGAACATTTTCATCTCCCCAAAACACCGTATGGCCATTAGCAGTCACTCCCCACGCCCCTCCCCCAGGCCCTGGCAGCCCCTAGTTCTACTTTCTGTCTCTATGGATAGGCCAATTCTGGACGTTCCATGTGTCTGGGGGAAGATGTGTGTTTGGCAGGCGTGGGGTAGTGGAAGGGGATTGGGCAGGAACATGAGTCTGAAAGGAGAAGGGGACTTTTTTTTTTTTTTTGGAGACAGAGTCTCACTCTGTTGCCCGGGCTAGAGTGCCGTGGCGTCAGCCTAGCTCACAGCAACCTCAAACTCCTGGGCTCAAGCGATCCTACTGCCTCAGCCTCCGGAGTAGCTGGGACTACAGGCATGCGCCACCATGCCCGGCTAATTTTTTTCTCTCTCTATATATATATATTTAATTGTCCAGATAATTTCTTTCTATTTTTAGTAGAGACGGGGTCTCGCTTTTGCTCACGCTGGTCTCAAACTCCTGACCTTGAGTGATCCACCTGCCTCGGCCTCCCAGAGTGCTAGGATTACAGATGTGAGCCACTGCGCCCAGCCCAAGAAGGGGACATTTTTGAGGGAAGGCCCAGCTGTCCCCGTGGCTAGCCACACACACTCCCAGAGGCGCCTCCATGGCATTGTGCTTCTTTACTGTGGGCACCTGTCTGCGGGCTGCGGTAGGTCTCCGGGGTGGGAAAGGAGTTCCTCCTGGGCCTCCCTCCCAGGCCTTTGGGATCCTCTTGTGTCTCCTAGTTGCCCTTCCCATAGGGTGCAAACCTGGCCATGTCCTCCTGGCTCCTCCCCCCAGTCCCAGCACGGGGAAGCTACTATGGCTGTCCTGCAGTCACCACTTGCCTGCCCTACCTTAGGCAACCCTGCTCACACAGCGCCCAGGGGCTGGTGGCTGTCATGGCCCCAGGAGTGGGATCCAACTGACAGGGTGGCTCCTGCCCCCCACCACCTCAGCAGCTAGCTCCACCAGTTTCCCTTGGGTAAGCCGAGGCAGACAGGCCTGACTCCAGGAGGCTGAGGAAGGCCAGCTGACAGCTCTCTGCTCCTACCCTTCCCTTGCTTGAGGCCAAGCAGAGGGGACAGGGGACAGCCCTTCACTGGCCAGGAGCACCCCAGCTCTGGGGCTGGCCCCACATCCCTGGCAAATGTGGAGATCCCATGGTGGCAGATGGTGGGCTGTGCTCAGTACAGAGGCCCTGTGTCCCATTCAGCATGGCCTGGGGAGGCCTGGCTGCAGCTAGGAGCCCTCATGGGGGCTTCCTGGCCTGGTGTCTTGGGTGGGGCCATCTGGGGTCACTTGGAGGGGGGAAGAGGGTAGATTAGATCAGGGAGCAGCAAGGAGGGGGTGGTTGGGCCTCACTCTGTGTCCCAGATGTGAGAGACCTCAATGGGGCCTTTTGTTGGGCTCCCAGAAGCCCCCGGGGGGGATTGTCTGGTCCTGTATGCCAACCCCTTCCTCTCCTTTCAGAAGCCACCAGAAGAGCAGGCTTCCTGGAGAAAGGGAGCCCCTCTCAGCCAGCTCATCCAGTGGCAGATGGTTTCCAGAGGAGCTGCCTTCAGCCCTGCAGCTTCTGGAAAACAAGCTCCTTGAGGACCAATCTCGGAGCCTGGCAGGGGTGGACCTACTTTCTGGGAAGACCCTAAGTCCCTGGGAGGATGGGGTTCCATTCCAGGCAGAGGGTACAGCACATGCAGACACTGCCGAGCTGGCTGCAGGAGAGCCTGGCTGGAAGGAGGGAAGGAGGAAAGTCTGAAATGAAGGGAAGGGGTGGATGTTACTCTTTTCTCTCTTTTGCCTTGAACCGTTCAGCATGTTCACATGGTTCACACAGGCATGAAAGGACACCTCCCTTCTGGCTCAGCCCTGGCTGGGCCAGTTCCCTCAACGTCCCCAGCCGCAACGCGCTTTCCTTCAGTCCTCTGAGCTCATGTGAATGTCCACCTTGCCTCTTACCTTTCTTATACAAAAAGTGTCACACTTGCACACTGCTCTACACTGTGCACTACAATGTCACTTAACAATATATCTGAATATTCTACCTGTCTTCCCACATCTGTGCATAGAGAGGCTCCTCATTCTTCTTTAAGCCACGTAGTAAATGTTGCAGATACTGGCAAACTCCCCTCCCTGGGGCCTGTTCCATTCCACAGCCTAACCAAAGGTGTGCGAGCTGCCCCCCTAGCCTCACCCACAGGGTGTTGTTGCTCCCACCTGGAGACGTATGCTAAGCTGAAATAGGAGACATGCTTTCTCAATGTGGGGTTTTATTTTTAATTTATATTTTTAATTTTTCAACTGAGAAAACATTGACATAAAATTAGCCATTAACCATTTAAAATTGTACAAGGCCAGGCACGGTGGCTCACACCTGTAGTCCCAGCACTTTGGGAGGCTAAGGCAGGAGGATCACATGAGGCCAGGAGTCTGAGGTTGCAGTGAG